GGATAGGGACAGTACCTGTGATTTCAATGCTATAAGGAATTCCCAGGTGAGGAAACTGTCTCCCAGGGCAGGTTGGCACCTTTTCTACAAGTTACAGTCTCAGAGACCTGCCAGAGTCAGTCAATCACTAAACATTTATTCAGCACCTACTGTGTGCTAAGCATTGTGCTAAGCATTGGTGATACAAATACAAAAAAGAGAGACAGTCCTTGCTCTCAAAGAGCTTCCAGTCTAAGGGGGGAAGATGGCACACAAAAGCAAGCTGGAAGGGGGTGGGGAGGGCAGGGAAGGTACCTGGCAAGGGCATGATGGAAAAGTCCGAAGAAGTGCAGCCAGGTGGGAAATGAAGAGCTGGCTGGCCTGGGCACCCTCCTTAAAGGGGGATTCTGGGAGGAGCTCTCCAACCTCCACCCTCCCACCAGAGATGAGCCGCAGTGAGGAGTGACTTGCTCCGGCTCACAGACCAGAATACTGGTGTCCTCATCAAGGAGAAATTTGGGGTCATTAAAAGAATTCTGCAGTTTCCCGAAGGCAATTTTACCCATTTTCATCCTCTTCCTCCTGTTTAATTCTGAGCCCATCTCCATCTCCATGTCCATTTGCAGCATCTGTCCAAGATATATCCATTGATGGATGAGCTCTATGCATTGTGCATCCAACTGTATGTCATAGTCTGGACAATATACATTCTTCATCTACTCTGTTTGCATCAAGACTCGGAACACTGTGGAGTCTCCCGGATATAATCCATTAAGTGCTCAAGAGCCTAATCAGACACATAGGAAAAATTGAAACCCAATGATAATTTAAACATTTTGGACCCACCCACTCCCCTTCACTTTTTTTTTTTAAAGGCAATCGGGGTAAAGTGACTTGCCCAGGCTCACACAGCTAGGAAGTATCTGAGGCCAGATTTGAACTCAGATCCTCCTGACTAAGGGCTGGTGCTCTATCCACTGCACCACCTAGCTGCTCCCCCTTCACTTTTTTTTGAATAATAGTAAGTCTAGACAATCTCTAAGGCCCCCTCTGATTTTGTGATTCTCTCATCTGTACCAAGAAGGAAAAACAAGAAATGTTTTTCTGTGTATTTTTGGCAATAGAACAATTATTTAAGTACTACTACTAATGTTAAAAATTGCTAGCATTCCCAAAGCTCTTTAAGATTTGAAAAGCACTTTTTTATTTTCTCCTCTGATCTTCACAATAACCCTGGGAGGTAAATTCTATATTATTATCCCCATTTTACAGGTAAAAAAACTGAGACAGATCCAGGTTAAGTGATCTGCTCAGAGTCATGCAACTAGTAAGTGTCGGACTGGATTTGAACTGGGGTCTTCCTGATTCCAGCATTCTTACCCACTGAACCACCTGGATGTCTCCCAAGTATCCACAACTGAGTCCAAGTGCTATGTGACTGTAAACAAGCTGGCAAAGGGTGACCAGAGACTATGTGAAATACATTGCTTAAATGTTGTCAGAGCTAATCTCTGGGGGCCAGTGGGGTCTTGCACTTGATGTTGACTTCTGAGGTGGAGGGAGTTGTGATGAGGCTTTGGACGTAAAGACTAATCCCTACATTCTCTTTCATCTTTCTGTGTCGTAAAAGCTTAGCTTTCTGATTTGGACTGGACCTCAGAGGTCATCTAGTCCAATGTCTACTATAGCTTTCTGTCAAATGATCATTTAGTCATCACCTGGATGCTTCCAGTGATGAGGATTTTGTTGTTATTCAGTCGTTTCAGTCGTGTCCAACTCTCCATGACCCCATTTGGGGTGTTCTTGGCAAAAATGACTGGAATGGTTTGCCATTTCCTTCTCCCGTTCATTTTACAGATGAAGAAACTGAGGCCAGCAGGGTGAAGTGACTTGCCCAGTGAGTGTATGGGGTCAGATTTGAACTCAGGTTTTCTTGACTCCAAGCCTGGTGCTCTATCCACTGCAGTGCCACCTAGTTGCTCCTTACAATGATGGGGAACTTACAACCTAATGAAACAGCCCATCCCACTTTGGAATGAATCACATTGATAAAAAGTTTTTCCTTAAAACAAAAGTCCAAATCTTGCTCTTGTGGATCAAGAACTAGGAGGGACCTTAGAGGAGTCCAACTCCTCCATCTTCAAATGAAGAAACTGAGTCCAAAAGAGGTTAAGTGACACATAGCAGAATTTGAACCCAGATCTTTCTGACTCCAGATCCAGTGCCCCATCTACTTACTACACCATGCTTCTTCCTCCCTTGTAATTACTGCTCGCTATTCCTTGTTTTGCCCTCTGGGGCCAAGCAGGACAAATATATGCCTTTCCTATGACAAGCCTTCAAAGACTTGAAGAGATCTGCTATGTCTTCCTTTCAGGCTAGATACTTTCCCAGTTACCTCAACCAGTCCTTGTATGATACAGTCTTCAGTCCTTTCTCTCCCTCCTAGTTGCCGTCCTAGATGTGCTCCAGGTTATCAATGTCCTTCCTGAAATGGGGAACCCAAAACCGAAACCTGATACTGCAGATGTATTCTACAAAGGCCTGACACAGTGTCACTATCATCTGACCCCATTTTGCCGTTGGGCTTGTGTGATGACAGATGTTAAGCTTTCGGTTCACTAAATCCCCAAGGTCTTTTCCCCCGTAAATAGCTGAGTCTCCCCCATTTCTACTTGTGCAATTGGCTTTTTGAACCCCAAAAGAACTTTACAGTTATTCCTGCTAAATTTTCTTTTCTTTAATTGAGCCCATTTAAAAAAATTGATTGAGGCCTTTTGGAGTCCTGATTCTATCATCCAGTCTATAAGCCATTCTTTTCAGCTTTGAATTATTCCCAGATTTCATAAGCATGCCTGCCATACCTTTATCCAAATCACTAATTACCCCCTAAACCCACAACAAAATGGTGAACAGAACAGGGATAGGGCCCTGTGGCCTTCCACTGGATTCTACCCTAGGTGACATCATCTCATTACTTCCTACTCTTGACACTTTTAAGATAAAGACAAGTTGAGAAATAGTACTAAATACAGAGAATTTATATACAGGGTATACAGGGAAAGGTTGCCCTCTTACCACCTGATGACTTCTCAGCTCAGTGTAACAGAGGTCCATATAATTCATTCATGACCCTAAAAGCTGCCTAGACCTTAAGCATGACTAGTTCAAGTCCAGTTGTGGATTTAATAATACTTTTATGACCTAATTGCCTCTATTTGGCCAATAAGAAATGGATTATTGGTTTTAGGCTGAGAGGAGCAGCTATATAGAATAACAGATTTCCTTTGTGCTCCTTGGTAATAGCAAATCTGTTTCCCTTGATTTTTTTACATTAATATAGATATGATTATTGCGCTTTACCTTCACAAGATTCATCTCAACAGCCAGCTGAGAATACTTTCAATTATCCATCTCCTGGTGGTCTCTAGGAAGGCTTGTTTTGGTCAACTAATCTTAACCCATAGTGCAAGAATTACTGTTAGCCTCATGGAGAGCAAACCTTTTCTTACATTGCCTACTTTATCATTTTTCTTAATTGTTTTAAAATATTTTTTGTTTATTTTGTAAATATACATTAAAAGTTTCTTTAACGTTCATTTTTTCAAATTTTGATTTCCAAATTCTCTCCTGCCTCTCCCCACCTTGAAGGCAAGCAATATGATATTGATTATACATGTGAAGTCATGCAAAACATCTTTCCATATTAGCCATGTTGCAAAAGAAAATACACATGAGAAAAAAGAAGAAAAATTAAGAAAGTGAAAAAGTAAATTTTTCTTAATTGTTAATGGCCACACTAGAATCCAAATGTATTTGGGCTTATGGTCACTATTTTCCATCCACCTGTCCATCTATCCATCCATCAGTCCAGAAAATATCTATTTATTAAGAAAATATGGAGCAATGGGAGGTCATATTGATCTATAGAAACATAACTTCTGCCTACAGGCTAGAGAATCAAGTCCTATATCTCTGGTTTGAAATTTTGCCTTATTATTGGCATTGGTATTAAAGTTTTAAGTTTCACTGATGGATTTTGGTTTTATATCACAGTCATTTCTTGATAGACTTTCATACTTACAGCTCCTATCCTGTATTGTCTGTCATCTCTCAACATCTTTGCAACCACTGAGCCTTCCTTTGTTTTGCAGAGTAAAGCAGTTAACTAAAATCAACCAACATAGTGATCAAATTGGAACCCGTATGCAACATTCTTAGCTCATTGCCCCCTAGCTCTCCAATGAAAGGATTGAGGTACATGATCTCATCTCTTCTGCAGAGCCACAGTTGGTCATTACTGTTACACAGCAAGGCAGCTGCCTGATAATTAACCATTCACAGGCTAACTTAGGGCCTTTACCAGCAAGGGAAGGACTCTGATATGAAGGCCTTCCAAATTATCTGGATTCATATCAGAAACATGCCCACTGGACACAGGATTTTGCACAAGGCCAGGGCTTGTCAATATGCCTGATATATGCTTTCAGTTCACAAGAGATTATGAGCTGGCTTCTGGTTTCTGTGTGGCATGCTAGAAGCTTTTACATTCTTGGTGGTCATGCCCCACTCTCTTGGTAAAAGATGGGTTTTATATTTTTGATTTTATATTAATTTATATTAATGAAAGCAGCAGGGGCAAATGGGACCTCTGTCTTCCTAAAATTTCATCTGAATTTCTCATGAAATAAATACCCTGAAGCCTTGGTGTTCTCCAATGCTCAGAAACATTTACCACTTGGCTGCTGCAGAGCTGAGGTCCTGGTTGTTTTCAACTCAGAAGTGTTTTTACCATCATCTCCTTTCTTACCAAAAATTTGATGAATTTTTGTTTCTTTTTTTTCTTTATTAACTTTTTTGGGTTTTTTTCCAAGATAGGCCAGGGGTAGTGGGTTCTACGGACAAGTATTTATATTTATATGCATAGTTGAGGTTTTTATTAAGTTTGTTTCCTTGACATTTTTATTCCTAATGACTCAACAAGTGGCATCTGCTTCATTCTTTGTTCTTCTTCACTCCAGGCCTTTTCTCAAGCAGCAAAGGATGTATTTTATATTTGCCCACATGGTGACTTCTGTATCAACATGGCTGACAATGATTCTTCTGATATTTGTTGGTCTTTTCCCTGAGATTCTTATGATAGCGGTTAAAAATGTCAGGAGAAGGACTCCCAAGGTAAGGCCTGAACCTAATTTATACACTCATTTCTGAGCAAGGCTTTTCTCTGCCAGGAGTAAGAAACAGTCGCTGTACGATTGCATCCATCACTGCATGTTAAACCCCTCCCTACAGGCCCATCACTTCATTGCCACCTCTGCATTAACAAGTATAGTTAAAAACTGGGTTGCCTGACCAGATGGTAAGTAGCCATGTTAACTGTTTTCTGTTATCGACTTACACAGTTCCTGGAGCCTAGGACCTCTCCCATGTGGGATGATGAAGCTGGGCACCTAGCTTTGCCCTTATGACTCTCACCTGATAGACAGTTGCCCCTTGGGTTCTTTGGAACCGAAGGCTGACTCTCTGGTGGTCGATTGGGCAATATGGTCCTCTTCAATGTACTTGGATCAAGCCCAAAATGTTTTATGTTTTCTCTTTGAGCAGCTTCAGTTGCCTGAGGCTCATGAAATGTCATTGACCTCTGTCAGCCTAATCACTTGGTCCTGTGTTGTCTGTCATCTTTTCTGAATATCTCAGGAAAACGTTGAGAAAGGGAAAGGTAGACAAGGCTAGCATAGAAGATTTGAACCCTTGTCCATTTTGATGAAGAGCTTCATTAAACGTCACAGATCCATGCCTATGGGAGCTCATCTTATTAGACCCCCTAACACCAAGTTTCTGGTGTATTAACAGCAGCCAGAGCAAAGGGAATATATTGAGAAAACAATCATAAAGCTGTGGCCATGTGGGCCCATATGACCAAATTGACTGATCAGCCACCAAACTGGTTACACTGAATTTTTTTTCCTTCAAATTCAATTGCTATAATTGATTGGTTGTTTTTGGCATCGTGTAGACTTGGGCAGAGACATCTCTGCTAGGGAAAATGGGGCCTTAACATGATACGCTGTCCAAGGTCTGAAAAGGCAAAACCAGGAGGCCGAAGCAAGAATGCTTACACACTTTGACTTAATCAGCCCATTGTATGTGCACAGGTGGTGGCATTATTGGGTGGGGAGCAGTATAATAATTTCCCAAGGGCACCAATGGCCCATGTTCTCCTCCTCCTTTTTCTTAATCCTCCAAAGCTTTTCCTTCCTTCCATCCTGGTTCTTAGTCTCTAGGATGAAGCAGTGATGTTTTAACAACTGATTCTGCTTTCTGATCAGTTGCCTGCTAGTAAAGATTGTTCATCTTCCCTCTCTCTGGTTCTCCTCCAGAAGAATTCATGGGGAATTTGGTGGGGAGGAAATCAATCAATCAATTAATAAACATTTATTAAGTGCCTGCTATATGCTAGGCACTCTGCTAAATACTGGGAAATATGTTGAGATAAAATATTTTTAGATCAGAGCTGTTGAAGATTAGGTTTTTGTTGTTGTTGTATTTATAATTTTAAATGAGGTGACTCCCAGTGGCTCTTCTCAATATGTTGAGTACTCTGTGGCAGGGGTGTCAAACTCAACTAGAAAAGGCGTATCTTGACTTAGAAAACGACAAACTGACATTATCTATGTTGTAATGTATTTCTGTTTTGTGAAACATTTCCCAACGACCTTTTGATCTGGTTCTGGCTGCCCATTTTTGGTTCTTAGTGAGTTTGACACCTCTGCTAGGGTACTCCAAAATTTCCCTTCTGCCCTCAGGTTAGGTAAGATAGAGGATCCTGCCAACATAGCTCCCATCCAGGAATATAATCTGAAACCTAAGCTCTCAAAATCACAATAAGATAATTTGAGCCTTTGAAAAGAACTCCTTGTGGCCTTCCTTACATTCTTTAAACCTGAACACACACACCCTTCCAAGCTTTAGATAGCTTAGGAGCTCTTTGCCATGATATACTTGGGGCAGTCTCTATGCAGGGAGCTCTAGCGGAAGTCAGAGTTCTTCACTTGCAATGTGACGTGACTTTTCCATGAGGCATTTGCTAGACCAGATTTACTGCACCCTCCCCCACTCCCCCATCATTGAGAAAAGACTCTTCTAGGTGCCTAATCTTTCCATCCAGTGTCTGAATGACAAAATAGACTTTGAGAAGCTGAGTTCCTTGAAGCTTCAGAAAAGAAACCCTTGTAGGGACCCAGCAGTACTGCCCCTCCTCTTTTTTCTAGGAAAGAAGGTAGAAAGGAGAAATTGTCAAAGCAATTTAGACTCTTACTGATAGGTAAAGGATGGTGAATAGGTGGGAGCCCATGACTCTCCTTCCTCTTCACCCTGGCATTCATTGTGGTATAACGGTGACCCTGGGTTCTTGAAGTCTGTGTCACCAACACCCAAGCTCTGGAAGACCCTAGCAAGCTAGAAAGGTTTCAAGGAGAGGCTTGGAGACTGGCTCTGTGTTAGTCACCACAGGGAGGACTTGAGTCTTGCTCAAGTATGGAGAGGCTCATCGCCCGAAGGTCAGTCATCAGGTGATGAATTTATGAGGGCAGGGGCAGGGGTCACAGCAACTCAGGAATTTCCTTCCAAGGCAAGTGTTTGTGATATTGAATTGGAGGTTCTCTACTGACATGGAGCGGGGGCTCAATGTGCATCACTGGAGGGGATAACACATACATTATAGAGCCTGGAGTTACTGCTATTTAGGTAAAGTAATAAGTGAACCATACTTGAAGTCCTAAATGAGGCAGTGACCTGAAGTGAAGGTGAAGGAAAGGCAGTCCTTAATGTACCCTTAAATGTCACAAAGTATCATTTATCAAGCCATGGGTTAGCAAACTATGACCTGAGGGCCAATATGATAAAACTTTATTTAAAAATACAAAAGCCATTCTTCGCTTGCAGGTGGTAGGCTGGATTTGGCCCACAGGCTCTAGTTTGCCAACTCCTGCACTAAGTAATGAATAGGTTGGGGAATTTCTTCCACAGCTTTAGCCAAGGAGTGTAGCAAGGAGTTGGTTTGGAGCACTTTCCAGTGGCCCCGGACTACACACTTCACTTTGGCTCTATGGGGAAGGCCTCATGCTCTGACCCCTCGCCAAATGGTGTCCACAGTCAGAGACTCCGATTGGTTCTTTGGTCCCTCTGGTGGGGTGTGGGGAAGGTGGCAACCATGTGGATTAAGGAACTCACCAGGAGCTTTTGTCCACGCATGCCCTTTAGTCAGGGGCCAGAGCACTTGGTCCCCTCCACGTGGTGCCAAAGTACATGTACCCAGCTGTATTCCAACCCCTTTATACACATCTTTGTCAGCAGCAAGTCCCTGAGCAGACCAACAGTTGTGATGCCACCCAGGCCACAACCTCAGGCACATAATCATTAGGACACCGTCGAAAACTCTGTCTTCCCCATATAAGACTGATTTACAAGTTTAGCTCCTGCCAAGTCACTGGGTGACCCCCTGCTACGAAGTGACCCTCAGGCCAGGCTTGCCTTAGACTCCCATCCAAATTAGAATGTTGTGAAGCTCCACCCTGACCCACCAGCAGAGGGAGCATCATGAAGGAGAGACAGCAGTCATCGTGTTTTGTCCAAGATCCTTTGCTAAGACACGGGTTTGACTGTTAAAAGAGGTAAGGGAAAAGTTCAATTCCTCTCTTCCCCTTCTCCTCCTGGTGCCCTCCTCTCCTCCCCCCACTGCCCCAGGCCCATATGGCTCTGAAACCACCAAGAGATAGTAAGCAATGAAGAGGCCAAGAGAATATAGATTTGTTGGGGCAAAATGAATCTCCTTGCTTTCTTGCTGAAGCCTGGTTCACAGTGTACCCTGTTTTCTGTTTGGTATTTGGTCTCTCTGGGAAATGCAGGCTCTTCTGTTCCAGCAGTCATCCCTGATAGCTTTTCATAGCAAGGGACCTTCTGATCGTGGCAAGATTGCCCAATGCAGGGGCAAACACAATGTCGGGAAGGCTAGTCAGAAGTACTGAGAGATCCACGCAATGGGGATTGGGGGCTGGCGGGGGAGGGGGGTGGTCGGTGGGGCAAGGAATGGGATCTTGTAGATATATCAATATATTTAGCCCTGGTTTGTATACCCTGCTCCAATAAGCTGTCTTCTCCATTTTCCCCCTCCAGGGAGGCCTGACAGTGAGTGAATTCCCAGGTACTCTGGATAATATTACTTTCAGCCCTATTCCTGTGTATCTAGATGATGCTATAGTGCAGGAAGCTCTGAACCCCGGGATCTATGCCCGACTGCTTCTCCAATTTCTCGTACAACCATCGGACCTTTGTAGATGGCAGGGTTATGTCTCCTACAGGGGGTCCCCCACCCACTATGCTCTCCCCACCAATCTTACAGCCTACCTTGAGTGCCGACTTTACCATCAGTTTGGCCCCCTCGACTCTAAGCAGTGGCTGGAGGTGTACAAGAATGTCAATAGAGTTTTGGGCATATGCTGATAAGTTTAAGATTCCTCTCTCTGGGGATCTGCCACCTGAGATACTTGGAGTGTCCGGCCATCCAGTCACAGCTGCCATTGCCTTCAAGGATGCCAGGACCAGTGACCACCTAGTGCCTCTGCCGCTGTGTACTCTCACAGCAATAAAACTTCCAGTTAACAGTTTGTTTGTTTGGTGTCCTCTTTGAGGGGTAGCTCTAGGTGGGGTGGGAATTGGTGGGGGTTCAGAGAGTCGCTGTGCACATTATTATATCCATCAGCTAGGGCCCTCAGATTCCTCCATCCTCGCCCTCACCCCAGGTTGGCATTGACAGTCTTTAGGGCATTAGGAGGCCAATAGCATCTTTGAAAAGAAATAGAGAGGCAGGCTCTATGGGCTGTGAGCATTCTAGTTATCACAAATCATTTTCCCCATAGCTAATCTTTAAACACATTGACTATGTCTCCCTAGTGGTGTGTGTATTTGGGGGTGTGAGGGTGGATTTGGGGGCAAATGATAGAGTCCTTCCCAATGCTGACCAGAATTCTATCCAGGAATCTACCCTTCTCCTCTCCTATCTAGTATCCATTTCTCCTCTCCTTCCCTTCCCTTCCCCTGCCAAGAACAGTGGGTTATTCATTGCTGCACCTTTTAGCTCCAACTTTCCTATCCCTTGGCCAAAAGCTGCCCACTTT